CTTCTGGAGGGAAACCACAGGAAAGGGACAAAAGGGGCCAGGCAAGTCTAGGAGGAAAGGAGCAAAATTAAAGTAGAAGTCAAGATAAAGGCCTCCATGCCAGTCTCCCACCATCTCTCACCACATGTCTCAAGTATCTCTGTGTCTCCACTCCACATGTCTCTTCCATGTTCCCCAGGTCTCTATCCCTGTCTCAATCTGAGAAGCAAGCGCACCCTCCTTCAATGTCCCTCTTCTCCATGTGTCATTCCTCCAGTGTCTCTCCTCTTGTGTCCCACTGAGTGTTCTATTGCTTACCTGGCCACTCAGATCTACCCCTCATTAGGTGGTGGGGGGGGTGGAACCTCCCCCTCTTTTTTTTTTTTTAAGATTTATTTATTTATACAAGCACTGGGTACAGTCAGAAGTGTGGGAGGGTGAGAGAATTCACCAGAGCCATAGCGGGAACAGAACAGGCAGACCAAAGAAATATACCGCTGAGGGGAGCAGCGGGCATGGCAGGAGAGGTCTCTCATGTCATGTGGGACCCTCCCAGTGGCCAGGGATCTAACCGGCGCTGCAGAGGCTGTGGGCAGCTTCACAGCTCAGCGTTCAACTGCTGCATCACCAGGGGAGGCCCAGAACCTCCCCTTTTTATGGAGATTCCTCTGTACAGCTTGTGGTGATTGAGGGAAAGGAAAGGAAAGAGAAAGAAGATGAAGGGGGCAAAGAGAGAGAAGGGAAAGGGAAGAAGGAAGGAAGGTAAATACCAACTCTCCTCTTTTGTATAGTCCCTTTTGTGAGGTCTGAGGGGGGCCCAAAAATCTTGTTTTCTTTGTTTTATTGAAAGACTTCCCAAGCTGCATAATCTCCAATTTAATCCCATTTAGTAGTCTTGTTTTGTTCCTGATTTTAATGGGAAATATTCTTTAATCTTTTTATAGGTACATATATATTTATATTTTAAATAATTTACAAATAATCTTGGTTTAAAAATGCTGCTTTTTTCCATTGTTCAATTTCTTCCATCAAATAATTTAAGTCCATTCATATGAATCTTTGATGCTGGTATCTTCATCATCGTGATGGCAATTTTTGACCTTTTTTTTTTGTGGTTTTCCATAGTACATCTTTACCTCCAAGTATGTTGTTTAAGACATGACACTTTTGAATTCATATTGATGCCCCTAGGAAACTTATCTAAAGCCATTGGCTTAACCTCAAGATAAATGTCCATTTGTTTTGCAGATAAGTATTTGTAATCCATGATGAAATTACCTACTACATTGCTTTTTAAATTTGCTTATAATGGCATCTAATGCTTGAAAATTGAGATTATATTCCAGGAATAATTACTAAAACTGTTTTTAGTATATTAGCCTCAAATACACACCCCTTGTTTACTAAGTTAATCGAACAATGTAAATATCCAAATCTAGGATAGTCCAGGCTAATGCATCATACATAGTACAGCCAAATAAGGTGAGTTCATAGCTGATCACTACCTATTATATATTAGAGCTCAGGATAAATTCCCCTCAGTTTAAGGGATAGGGGTAAGGAACAGATGTACTGAGGGAAACCTTCAAGGCAAATATCTTATATACAGGAAGATTTAATTATTTGTGCAAGATGAGCGTACACGTGTGTACTTAATGCTAATTTTAGTACTGGACCATCTGGCCCCGATGCATTTATGCTAAAAACTGTAATTTTTGATCATCATTAATTTACCTAGTTGTAAATTGTAATACTTTGCACATAGATGATGAAGAGACAGGATCCACTTGAATAAGTGGATAAAAATAGCTACACTTTTATTATCAGCAATAAAATGATTTTTTTCCCTCCTTTTAACAGATTTAATGTGCTCACAACCACCACAATTCAAAAAAAGACGTCTAGTGTATGAAAAAGTCCCTGGTAGAGCTGATGGACAAACTCGTCTAAGGTTTTTTTGAGAGAAAAAATAGTGCTAATTGCTATGTTCCATTGTTTTTGATGATAATTCAATAACAGGACTTAGAATTGCTCATACATTAGATAAAAAATAATTGTTCTTAGAAGTTCTTAGTGTTTCTACATTATTCATAATATATGTTCTGCCCTATAGTTTGCTTAAGTAAACTATCATAACTAGCGTTAACAGTTGTCATAGGATCCAAATATTTCCCAGATTCACCTACACATCTCAAGCGCTTCATTTTTAAGAGAGACAGAAAACTCCATTCTGTGTAACTAGAAGGGTTATTTTGTTGTCTCTTAAGGGTCCACTGCATCCCAGCTTTCCTACAGTGACCCCCTAAAATGAGCCTTAGTCTTGGTCTAATCCTTTCAGTTAAGGAGCTCACCACAATCAACTCTTTACTTAAGAAATAGTACTGGGAGACAAGTCTTTGTTGGAAACTGGCAAACAGTGGATAAAATGAGCTGTGCTTACAGAGCACTCCCAAGAGTGATTGTCACATGATAGGTTGGGTTCGCCCATAGAAGGCAGACCAGAAGCCACAGTAAAGCCTTCTAGTTCCCCTTCCAGACATGCTATCACATGGGATTGTTTGAAACAGCCTCAACTTCCCAGTTGGGTCTTAACAATGGAAACCTTGCTTCTTTCTCTGAAAGGTTTTCCTTGTTCTCCTGGGAGTTATTTGCCCCCTAGAGCAATGCTGGTCATGGTCATGCTCACCTTTTGATAGCTTTGAGTGGCTTTCCCCTAAGTTCCTAGGCCCAGTGCAAACTCTGTAGGCTTCAGTTACGGATGGACATGATATACTCCTTGCCTTGCCACTGAGTCTCATCAATTAACAGGAGAATCAACACCAGGTCATCTCACCCTTGTTTCTCACAGTCGGAGCCTGGTTATTCTCCCCAAATAATAAACCCTGCCCTAAAACAAGGGATCCAACAATTTTAACAGAGTAGCCAGAGTTGGAGGGGATGGGGAATACAAGCTATAGAAATCTAAAATGAGGACTGTCTTTCTGAAAAGGACACGTTTTTCTGTCTTTTGTTTTTTTACCTGTTATATTCTGATTTTTATTATACAAGAGTTTTTCACTAAATACGTCATGTAATTACTTATTTAAATTAAATTGCTTATTTGTTTAAATTTAATTTTATAGAGTCAAAGTATATCTTCTCTCTTGATTTCTGGATTTCCTACCTTGCTTTTTATCCTAATGTTATATAAATATTCTAATTTTTCTTCTAATACTTTTATATTAACTTTCTTTAACCCACGTGGAATTCCTTTGTATTGCATAAGACAAGTCCAATTTTATTTTCTTCCATATGAACTTTTAAATATTTTAACCAGTTTCCTTCAGGAAATGAGTAAAATAGGAATTTGACTAAATTTATATATGAATTTTAGTAATACTACATTTTAATGAAATTGTAATAATATCCAGAAATTTATTTACACCCTGTTTTATAGAAACCAGTCAAATCTTTTATCTCTTTCTTTACTTTTGCTAAATTTATTCACAAGGGTTTTTTTTAGTTTTGTCATTAAAGTACAAATGAGATATAGTTTCCATTTTCATTTTTATCTAGCTATTGCCAGTGAGGAAAATGCTTATTTTTATTTTTCTATATATGTATATTTTGTATACAGCCAGCCTCCCAAATTCTATTACAAATTCACTGTTTCTTCTACTAGAGTCTCATGTTTCCAAAGTGTACAATTATATAGTCCATAGGTACAGATATTACTTCTTCTAAAATGTTTATACCTTTTTTTTTTAACCTTATTGCATTAGTAAGACTTCCAAAGTAATACTGAACAAATGTGGTGATAAAAGTACCCTTGTTTTGTTCTTAATATGCTGAATGTACCAACATTTATCACACAGTATAAAATTTGCTATTGGTTTTGATTATCTATCATCTTTAATTTCTTTTTATTCCTGTTTCACTAATTCACTTAAAATTATTCAGAAGTTACTGAATTTTATCAAATGACTTGTTAGCATACATTCTTTTTAAACCATTCCCATAATAAATTACATTGATAGATTTCCTCATACTAAACTAGTTTTTTCAGGTTGTATCTTCTCTTAATATATAGTACTGAAATGATTTTCTTATATTTAGGACATTTTACATCTGTACTCACAATTGAGATATCTATAGTTTTATTGTACTACCTTATGAAGTGTTTGCCAAAGAGGAAAGTAGAATAAAAGTTTTTGTTTTTGTTTTTTCACAGAGAGCAATACATAATTGATGTGTACAACTTGATGAGTTTAGAGATAAGGTCACACCTGTGAAACCATCACACAATCTATGCCATAAACCTACCCACCACTTCCAAAAGTTGCCACTCACCCTCTTATTATATTTTGTGGTAAGAACACAACATAAAATCTACCCCCTAGCAAATTTTAATTATATGATACAGTATTGCTAATTATAGGCACATACAGTCTCTAAGACTTACTCATCTTACAAACCCAGAATTTTTTTTTAATGGATATTTATTAAAATGCTTGTTGTTGTTAAGATGGGCATGGAATAGGTTTAAATTCTGAAAGAAAGGATCCAAAAAAGAAGCTGGAGAGAAAAAATGATAGTATCAGAGAAGGTGAAACAGATCCCGAGGATACATGGAGTGGTTAGAAAAGGGATACCAGAATGATGATCATATGGAAGGAATTCAGACTGTTTAGATTTGGAAGTTGTTAGTGGCCAAATATTAACCAAGTTTTCATCTAACTCCTGTTTTCTCTATGGTAACCTGACTTAGGTGCAAACATATTTTCATTTATTTATTTATGGGTTTAAACATAGCAGTTTGAAAGAGCAAGCATACTATTGTCATTACTTATGATATATCTGTATATTATACATATCTAATTTTTACAAAATTCTGTACGAATTTACAAACAAAAATTCCATCTTCACTCTCAGCACTCACTCTCACAAGCAATCAGATATCCATGTAGCCTTAAAACACAATTAGAGGGTCTCCCTGGTGGCGCAGCAGTTGAGCGCTGGGTTGCGAAGCTGCCCGCGGCCTCTGCAGCGCTGGTTCAATCCCCAGCTGCTCCCCGGCCACCGGAGGAGGGTCCCACATGGCGCACAGACCTCTCCTGCCCGCTGCTCCCTGCAGCAGTGTACTTCGGTACTTTTGCCTGCTCTGCTCCCCGCTCTGGCTCTGGTGAATTTTCTCACCCTCCCGTGCTTCTGACTGTACCCAGTGCTTGTATAAATAAACAAACAAACAAATAAATAAATAACTCTAAAAAAATAATAATAACACAATTAGACACTGAATGCCGCTATGGTAGAAAATGAGTTAAGCAGAAATTTTATTTCCAAGTTCTTCAGAGACTATTATTACAAACACAAAATATTCTTTAAAAGTGTCACAAATTAAATCAAAGGCATATCATCAAAATAAACACATGTGTAAGAATGCATTTCACTTGTAACATTTGCATACTACTTAGTTTTTAACCATTGCAATATGCTATAGGTTATATTTTTAACATTTTAAAGACATCAAGTAATATTGTTTTTAAAGTACAAGCACAACTATAAAATAGAGGCATTTAAAAAACAAAGATCAACTCTGCTTCAAACACAGAACGGGGCAATCTTATATAAACATTAATCTTTTCAAACAAGTTTGCTAAGAAATAGCTCCCATACTTAGTGTTAAAAATAAGAGAATCTCCTCATTTAGAAAAGTCCACCTGTCATTTCATTAATAGCACTTATTCTTCCCCAATTTTTCTTGCTTGTCTTCACTTAGAAATTGTAAATTCATGAAGAACAAATTTTGTTATAATATAAAAAAGTTACTAATATGCAGGGTTTTTAAGTAAACAAAAATGTTTCCTTCCCAAAATATAAACCAGTAAGTAAAACACATAATATTCCAGGTATAGAAACACCAGGAATTTGCTTATGAAAGAGGTGCATTTTGGTGTATTTGATGATAAGGTATTTGTTTAAGTATAAAGCACTTCACCAACAAACCAGGCCATTAGTATTTAAAAGTCACGGTTTCACCCAATTTCCTTATTTGAATAGAAATGCATCAATTTCTGTAGAATTTTGTGATAGGGCCACAGAACAGGTCTGAAACACCTAAGTCATTTGGCTGGCGAAACATGTGTTCACGAGACTTGGAGGCAGGCATTCGTTACTTTGCAGCTGAAAGCATTCCTCAGGGAACATCTTCCATACTGGAAAGAGAATTTAGTAGGTTTTCATTTAGTTAGATTTATACATAAAATTAACTAGTTGTCATTTCATAGCTCGCTATAGCATTCCTAAAGTAGAAAGTAACAGGTTAATACAAAAAACATCCAAACCACACCACTGAATGAGTGGCACCGTGAAAGTGCTTTGGAAAAAAAAAAAGATGAAACGTGGGCATTTTCCATTACGAGGTACACAGTTGTACCTGATAGAAGGATCACTTCCTTCTTTTTTTTTTTTTTTAATAGAGGCATGTTTTATTTATTTATTTGTTTGTTTTTGTTTTGTTTATACATGCACTGGGCACAGTCAGAAGCGCGGGAGGGTGAGAGAATTCACCAGAGCCAGAGCGGGGAGCAGAGCAGGCAGAAGGACCGAAGTACACTGCTGAGGGGAGCAGCGGGCGGCAGGAGAGATCTGCGCGCCCTGTGGGACCCTCCTCCGGTGGCCAGGGAGCAGCCGGGGATTGAACCGGCGCCGCAGAGGCTGCGGGCAGCTTCGCAACCCGGCGCTCAACTGCTGCGCCACCAGGGAGGCCCTCCTTCTTTTTTTTTTAAAGATTTATTTATGCATACAAGAACTGGGGTGTAAGTCAGAGGTGTGGGGAGGGGGGTGACAGTATTCACCAGAGACAGTGGGGAGCAGAACAGGTGGATTGATTGAAATACACTGCTGAGGGGAGCAGCGGGCAAGACAGAAGAGGTCTGCTGGGCCATGTGGGTAGCTCCTTGGCCGGGGATCGAACTCGTGCTACAGTGGCTTCTGATAGCTTGATAGTGCTGAGATTTACACCCTTGTGCCACCAGGGAGGCCCCCCTCCTTTTTAATGTGAACAGTTTCCTTTTGTAAGCATGTGCAAAGAGGCCCCTCAGAACATATAGTTTCTAAATTGACACCAGAGAGGTGTTTTCATTTCAGAAATCCATTTTTCAAATTCTTATACCTACTCACAGTTTCCCCCAGTAACTACATTTCTTCCTTCATTAAATCTCAAAGGTATGTTTTGAAAGCTTTTGGGAAAGAAATCACAGCTGGTGGTAGAAACTGAACGGTCTGTCTTCTCAGGGGAGTCACTGGTCTTCAGAGCAACAACCAAGCAGCAAATTACAGGTCTGGATGGGAGTGGGATTAAGGTCAAGAAATCACCACCAGCCAACTCAGTTGAAGAGCTCAGGTTCATAAGGCAGTTAACATCTCATGAGTTAGTGCCAGAGGATTGAGACTCTCCTAATTGGATGTTTTCCCAGGCAGGCAGACTGGAGTCACCCTTCAGGGAAAATTGTGCCTTTTTCTGTTTCTTATTTTAATTCCCCCCAGGAATAGTAGATATCCTAAACTAGTTACCCAAATCCTTTGGGAAGCCCCATGATAATGCCATGGCCCCAAGACAGCATGGTGTATCAGGGCTCACCAGTCTTCAGAATAAAGCACAGGATCTGGGCTCCCTGAAGGGGTTGTTTCCAGCTGGGACGCCGACCAGCAGGGCATCGTTGCAGGCATTCTGCATGCAGTACTGTTGAAGCTCTGCCGCCGCCTGGGAGACCTAAAACAAAGTACAAGTCAGGTCCATCCAGTGACCATCTGATACTCTGAAAAGTGATCGTATAACCTGATGAAGGTCACATTTTTGTGACCTCTATACGTTTCTTTTTTTGCCAACAGTCCTAGAACTGAATTCCAAAGAGGAAAGTATATCTATGAACTTTGATTTAGGGTATTTTTGATCTAGTTGCTTATTCAACAAAGTAGGGGAAAGCCCTATTACTTGCCTACTTAGAATCCTAGTTTGAGATTGAACTGATGCAGAAATAGCTCATTCTAGTGTTCCCTCTACAGAGTCTCTCTCAATAAAGCATGTTCCCTCTACAAAGCATGCATTGACATACCCAGGTTTGCCATTTGAGCAAACTGTTCTAGTGTTTACGTAAGGCTGGATGGAGCCATATCCAGTCTTCTCAAAACAAATGACAAAGTTCTTCCACCATGTTTTGAGACAGAATAGCTGGTTGATTAAAAATACAGCCTTTGGAACCAGACTAGCTGGACTCAAACTCATTTCTGTCTATCTGAATGACCTTGGGCAAGTGATTTGTTTTCTCATTTGTGCAGTGTAGTTAGTAGTAGTACCTTCCTCACTGGGTTGAGATGATGATTTAGTTCACACTTAAAATAGTGCTCATAGAGTAAGCAATAAAGTTGTGGTAGGCTGCAAAATTAATCAAATACATTGCAGCTCCTCGATCCAGGAAGCAGAAACTTCACCCTCCCCTTGAATCTAGGCTGGCTTTGTGACTTGCGTTAATCGAGAATATGGCAGAAGTAACAGGCAAGTTCCAAGCCTGGGGCTCAAGACCCTTTGTAGCTATTTATCTTGTTACTGCTGGAACCCTAGAACCAGCATTTAATGAGCCCAACCTAGCTTACCGGAGGTCATGTGGAGACTTTCAGGCAGCCCAATCCAGCTGCCTACAACCTCCAGATAGTGAGTAAGGCCATCCCAGATCTTCCATTCGACAGCACAGGAGAGCCAGCTAAGATCAGTAGGACTATACAATAAATCCCACTGAAATTGTTGACCCAAGAATTGTGCCAACCACTTTTAGCTTAAACTTTTAAGCTTAAACCACTAAACTTTGGAGTTAATTAGGCATCGAAGAAAGATACAATGAATTTTCTTCTTATCCTCCATTTGATGCATATTTGTACTTAGGTGCTTTCCTTGCTTCCTGTTTTTCTTGCATTGAAAAGGTATTTGTATTAAAACCCCCATCATTCAAAAATGGTTCCAGTTGCTATTCAATTACTATACCCGTTTGTGTTAGGTTTACAAACTTCCAAATAACTGGAAAACTAACCCCATCTGTTATAGTTATTATCTAGTACCTTGGAACATTTTAGGAATTTTGGTTTCATTAACGTAGTAACAGTTTGCTATGTTATATAAAAATAAACATAATCCTAGGAAGTTAGACATTTTTATATTATAATCAAAATTAATGGTAATACATAACAATTATTAATTCAAAAGAAATTTGCAGCCAATTGTAGTTCTTGCCTATCTCAGCATCAGAGGGAACAGGTAAACTGAGTGGAAGTAGACTGTCTTCCAGGACCCCTGGAGAAATGGTACTAACTAGATCAGGGGATATGCAGAGAAAAGGAGTAAAAGTGGTCAGCATGTCTCTAGCACTTTCAAGGGAGAGACTCTGGACCAGGAAAATACAAGATCAAATACTCGGAAGCTGTCACTTGTCACTGGAGCTGGGATAATCCCCAAATTATATGACTGTCCTTGGTTTGAGTTCATTTGCTTACTCAGCTACTTCTGAGAGGCTTCTGCAGAGCAAAGAAGGTGTCCTTGAAGGATACCGAGAATTCCCAAACACTGGGAAGGGCTGCCCTCCTTTATATACTAGAAAATTGGTGTCCTAGTTTATTTGCCAGTGAGCAAATCTGTCAAAGAGAAGACATCTCTGGGTGTACTGAGAACATTCATCATAGAGTCCTGAAAGGAGAGAGACCCTAGAATGTTGACTCCCTCATGTGCTACCTGAGAGAAGCCCTGCCAGACACCCCAGACCATAGTATCATGAGGACACCTGTCTAGTAAACTTATGTCATCTTAACTATTCGCTTAAATCCTCTGGGTCTCAGTTTCATAATTCCCATAATTATCTTTTTCAATGCAGAAAGAATATCTCCCCCAGCTTCATCACAGGGTCAGCATTCAGTTTTCCTTTCTACCTCAGCTTCCAACATCATCTTGAACATTTTCAACAATGCTCCTTTCAGTTCCCTGACCTCTCTTCAAACAACCCAAAGTTAACAACCACAGCTAACAACCGTAACTACTCCACACCTGACATTTTACACTCCCAACGCCCTATGGCCTGATCATAATCTCTCCTCCCATTCCAGGATATTGCTTCTTTCATTCTCACCACTCCTGCTCTTTGATCTCAGGAAAGACACCTCCTGCCCTTTGGTCTGGTCCATTACCAGGAGGCTGCCTCTCTCTGGGCAGATGCTCAAACCCCTTATCCTTTACCCCCATCTTAACTTCTGGCATGACTCCCCTGCTCCCCTCCTAATTTGATCAACTGTCGTTCATCTCATTCGCCTTATCTGATGGAGTCCTGGGTGGTCAAATGCTGTTGGAGAAACTCTTCATTAAAAAATTACAAGTCGGGCAATCAGTCTCCAATCTCATAGTAATTGGGTTTCCAGAATCATAAAGTGACTACAGCTATGGCTGCTAGGGCATCCACTCCCTTCCCAAAGCACACTACCATCCATTCTTATGACTCATTGTTAGTTTCCGTTCCTCTGCCCTAGCAGAAATTTGATGTCCTGTTCACTAAGAAAACTGTCATCAAACAAGTCCTTCAGCCAGTATCTAGAAACATCCCTTTATACATATTATCATTCTTCCAGCCTTAGAACACACTTCCAATCACATATGCCCCATAAACCCTGTCTCCTCTACCTCCAGTTCTCCTCCATTTGTTTCTTCCCCTCAACCAAAATAGTTTGTTCTTTCCCCTTAACCTCAACATGACTACTCATTTCCTAAATTTTCAGAAGTTTCCACTTTAAAGCCAGATTTCTTTTACATCTGTCCACCCTTACAATCTGGATTCTGCTTCTACTACTACATTCTGTAACCTCTTCTGCATTCCACAAATATCTATTTCCTTATTTTGTTTTATAATCATCACATGTATCACTTGAAATTATTTTACTTATTTGTCAATTCTGATTCCTAATTTGGTGTGGCTAAACTTCTCTCACATCATCTGGGTGTTCTACAATTCCACTCAATTTGGATTCTATGTATCCAAAGATAACCTGGGATCCCACAAGGTAAGCAAGGGCTCAGTCCTAAAGACAGCCTCCCCCTGCCCCCCACTTCAGACACCAATCCAAGTCTAGGTTGTCACCTTGCTTCTGGCCTATGGTTTAGAGACCAGAGGTTCTAATGACCACCTCATGGGTTCCATTAATTTGCTAGAGGTGCACACAGTACCCAGGGAAACATTTTAATTACTCGAGCACCAGTTTATTATAAAGCAACGTAACTCAGGAACAGTCAGATGAAAGAAATGCACAGGGTAAGGTATGGGGAAGGGGCACAGGGTTTCCATATCCTCTCCAGGAGCACCCCACCCTCCACCAGTTCACCAACCTGAAAGTTCTCTGAACCTAATCATTTGGGTTTCTATGGAGGCTTCATTACATAGGTGTGATGATTAAATCATTGACCATTTGCAGTGGATTCAACCTCTAGCACCTCTCCCTTGTGGGTGAGAGGGGATTGAAAGTTCCAATGCTTTAATCATTTGGTTGGTTCTTCCAACAACCAGCCCACTCCAAAAGTTGCCTCATTAAATAACAAGACTCCTGTATCATCTCATTAAGCAATCCCGTGGGTTTTAGGAGCTCTGTGCCAAAAACAAAGCAAATATATATATATATATACACACACACACACCTTTATATATATACCTTTATATATATATATATTTTCACAATATAATTGGTTAATGTAATTATGGTTGTCTTCCCTTCTAGAACCATCTTATTCCCAGTACCCAGAATAGTGTCAGATACTGTTGAAGGGAATTCCACAGCAGTGTTCAGTCACCAACTCTCTACAAATAATGCTATGCTAATCACAATTATGCTTTTTAGCAACTGCCTAAACACTGGATTGTTGATTAAGCTCCAAAATTTCCTAAACCCCTCCTTCCTTGCCTCAGTAGCCTGGCTTTCTCTTGGTTTTCTTATCGCAGTCATCTCCTTTGGCAGCTCCCTGAGTGCGGCGCTCTGGCCCCTTCACTAGCAGACTCCACTCCCCGACGTTATGATCACCAGGCGCTTCTCTGCGCTTCAGTCCAAATCCACCTCGCGGTGTCTCCCCATGGCCACGTATCCAACTTAAGCTCATCGCTCCCCCCGTACCTGCTCTTCCCCTTCCCCTTACTCCTTCCCCCCACGCCCACTCTCCACCGAAGCGAAGGGCAGTGCCCTCCATCCCGTCACCCTCCAGAAAGGCCAGCATCGCCTTCTCCCTCCCTCCCGCACGCAGCCCATCGACCCAGCGCCCGGCCCGGCCCGGCAGGCCCTCTGCACCCCTGGGCTCCATCCTTCCCTCCGCACCGCCGCGCGTCGCCGCACTCCCGGCCCCCTCGGCGCCTGCCCGGCGCCCCCTGTCCATCTGGTACCAACGGGGCGCGCTTTCCGCGGTGGACCCGCCTCATTTCGGGGCCCTCGGTCCCGACCACCCCCGCCGGGACAGACCCTTGCCGGGGCCCTCCCTGCGCTCGGGCCCGCGGCCTGGCCGGGCCCGCGCCGGCTCCCACCCTCCGAGGCCGGGCCCCGAGCTGAGGCCGGAGCCGGGGCCCACGCCGCCTCGTGGGTTGGGGCCGCGGGACGGTCACGCTGGGCCCGGCCCCGCCGCCCACCGCGGCCTCCTGCTCCCCCACGGGCCTCGGCCCGCGGGGCGCGCGCGGGAGCCGGCGCCTCCGAGCGCGGGGCTCTCCGGCCGACCGCACCTTGATCCGCTCCACGCCGGCCTCCAGCTTGAGCTGCTCCACCAGGCGCTGCAGGGCGTTCAGGCTGGCCCCGGAAGACATGGCGGCGGCGCTGGCTCCGGCTCCGAGGGGGACTGAGTGGGCTGGGAGAGCCGCCAGGCCCCGAGCCCGGGCGCCGCCCCGGGGCGGAGAAGGAGCGGCGCCCGCCCCGCCGCCCGGGCCTCGCCACGCGGCCGCTCCCCGCGGGGACAGGCCCCGGCCCGCGGCAGCGCGGGGCCCGAGGTCACGCACACGGAGCTCCCATGCTGATCGCCGTGGCACCTGCAGCTACCCCCGGAACCCGAGGCGGGAACATGCAGATGAAAATTAACTTCAGCGACCTCACCCCCATGTCGCCACTCGCTTCTTTATAATCATTGTTTCTGCTGCGCTGCATGTTCTTTTTAAAAGATGTGCACCGAAGTTTGTTTTACAAAACTGGCATCATGATGATATGCAAATGCATTTTGTTGTGATTTTTTTTTTTTTCACTGAAAGCATCATGAATATTTCCTTATTCTCGCACTCCATTGTATTTGACAAACCACAGAGGCAAGCAAGAAGGTAACAGAGTGGCTTGTGTGACCAAAAAGCCCAGGGACTTTAACGTGCTGGATTTAATCGCTTCGAGGATTTCATTCTCCATCTTTTGGCTCTGCTTCTTCACAATGTGGGTCCCGTGTTCTCCAGTGGCAGATAGACCTGTGAAGGACTGTGAAGGAAGGCCTCACTGGTACCCAAGCAAACCCGAGAAAAACTGCACCTTTGCTAGAGGTTTCCGGGTCCTGGTTCTCACGGCTATGGGCCCAGCCCTGAATCTGTCATATTCGACGGCAAGAGTGTGTGGAGCGGCCGCGGCCAAGAGCAAGGTGCGGGGTGGGTGGGCCCGCTGGGTGGGCCCGCCCCAGCGCTACAGGGTGCTGCGGTACCGCCCCAGCGTCCCCACTTAGGATGCGGTGCTCTTCATCCTTCCCCAGAGCGGAGAACGGCCCCTCGTGCCTCCAAGGTAAGACTTTCTCTGGGAAATACCTGTAGCCAGAGCCACCCAAACACAATTCCAACCCAAAGGAAGTGACTTTTCACTCTAGCACAGTACCCAGGATAAGGCAAGGAATTCAGCCTATTTTTTTTACAGGTTTTTTTTTTTGGGGGGGGGGTGAGCATTTTTATTTTATTTATTTTTACATCATTTTTCATTTTTGCACAATGTATGCATTTTAATTTTGGTTCTTGTCCCCATACAATTCCCACCCCCCTTATTTTGACTCTAATCCCGCCTTCCCCCACTGTAGTGTGTCTTTGGTTTATGGTTGCTTGTTGATTTTGATTTTTACTTTATTATAATTAGTCTTTTTCCTGACACCCTTATTTAGGTTTTCTAAATTCCTGCTATGAGTGAGAGCATCTGGTATTTTTCTTTTTCTTTCTGGCTTATTTTGCTGAGCATGATCCCTTCCAGCTCCATCCATGTTGCTGCAAATTGCATGAGTCAGGAATTCAGCCTATTAAAAGGACAAAGAAACAACGGGTTTAATGGCTCTCTGTATTACTGTCATTTGTAAAGCATGAGACTCTTTCCAGGCCCCTTTAAAGGGGAAGAAACTCGTTGATGGAGCACTTACTATATGCCAGGCACTTTAGCTCTGTTTTGTTTGTCTTAACAATACTGTAATTAGTAACTACTATTAAAGATGGAAAAACAGGCTCAGAGGTTAACCTTCCCAAAGTCAAGCCACTAGGAGTTGATCAGAAACCAAACCTTGGTCTATCAGGCTACAAAGCATGAGCCATTCCATTGCAGCCAGATCACTCTTCTTGCGGGTATAAAAGGGAACCCCCCCCCCAAATGGCTGGAAGTTTCTCCATCACCTAATGAAACTGGGGAAGAGGAATCCGTAAGAAACCCATGTCAGTAGGCTAGGAATATATGATCCATTCCATATACAATTGTCAAGGATATCCTGAATCCTTTAAAAAGTTGGTTCAAGAGGTGGCTCAAGGGGTTAAGACGCAACCTATGAAGCTGTCTGCAGCCACTGTAGCATGAGTTCCATCCCAAGCCAGGGAGCTACCCACATGGCACAGCAGACCTCTCCTGGCTCACCCACTGCTCCCCTCAGCAGTGTACTTTCGTCAATCTGCCTGTTCTGTTCCCCACTGTCTCTGGTGGATCCTCTCACCCTCCACATCTCTGGCCTGTCCCCCAGCTCTTGTAGACATAAATAAATCTTTAAAAACACACACACACACAAAAAAAAATTGGTTCAAGTTTACAAATAAACACATGTTTTACTTTGATACTCATTTTCTTGATTGGGGGCAATCTAATATACCTCAGACCCTAACCTATTTGAGTTTGCAGGCTTACAGAATTTTAAATTCTGATTATCTAAAAAAAAAAAAAAAAAAAAAACCCTCATTTCACAGATGAGGAAACCAGAGAGGTTAAATAATTTAACAAACTTTCTTAAGTTCTAGATTTAGCTTTGGGCCATGTTTAAAGCTGTCTGCTCTTCCTCATAGACAGACTTCTTGTTATTGTTTTTGCCTAGAATTGGGGTACAGGCCAGAGGTGCAGGGGTGAGAGGATTCATCAGAGACAGAATGGGGAACAGAACAGGCAGATCTACTGAAATACACTGAGGGGAGCAACAGGAGAGACAGGAGATGCCTACTGCCCATGTGTGGACTGTGTGGGTAAGCTCCCCCGCAGGGATCAAGCTCAGGCCACATCAGCGATAGTGTGATAGTGCTGAGACTTAACCCCTAGAGGCCCCTTGGTCCATAGTTAAATGTGAAAGTATCATATTTGCAAACAAGGTTAATTAGAATTCATCCAAATATGTTTGTGCAAATACCAACATTTATCTGCCTCAAGTGCACAATTAACAACTCAACAGATATGTTGAATTTAATGTTTTGAAGTGACTAAATCTATTTATACTAATGGCTTTAAATTTTCTCTTTAATTTCTACAGAACTTTCCATCTGGGGCCAGCAGTTATTTTCCATTCAGTCCTGAATGTTAGCATAGCAATTGGCTTCCACTCAAGCAAAATATCTCCATGGTGTGGGTGTTAAAAGTTAGTCCTTTTCAGTATCAAAAGAAAAAAAAAAAAAAGACTATGAAAGGAAATGAACTATGGTTTCCTAGCTATAAATGCAGTACTAAAATAGTTAATTCTCTAAATCCAACTTTTTTTTTTTTTTAATTTTCTAGAGGCATGTCTTATTTATTTATTTATTTATTTATTTATTTATTTATTTATTTATTATTTGTTTGTTTGTTTAGTTTATACAAGCACTGGGTACAGTCAGAAGCGCGGGAGGGTGAGAGAATTCACCAGAGCCAGAGCGGGGAGCAGAGCAGGCAGAAGGACCGAAGTACACTGCTGAGGGGAGCAGCGGGCGGCAGGAGAGGTCTGCTCACCATGTGGGACCCTCCTCCGGTGGCCGGGGAGCAGCCGGGGATCGAACCGGCTACAGAGGCTGCAGGCAGCTTCGCAACCCAGCGCTCAACCGCTGCGCCACCGGGGAGGCCCTAAATCCAACTTTTTTTATGTAACATTTTAAAAATCCTGTATACCAGTTGTAGCTTTTAAGATTGTTTGCACTGTCCCTACCTAACAGGTAAGTTATGAAACAGCAACTTGTGATTTTGTAGAACCTGGAGAATCCATGAGATGGTAAGACCAATGGGGAAGGTGTTAGTGGTAGAACCTGTTATGAGGATATCTGATATGAATGTAACCTTAAGGGTAAATGAGCTTAGACCTCAATTACATGAAGTAATGAACAAATAGGTTGTGTAAACCCCTGAACACCAAATATATTTAGGGTAACCATTATTTGGTAACCCTAAAATGAAGCATACAGAAAAACTGTCTAAATAGTAGGATTGTGAGCCTCGACCCAGGATTGCTCTCTAGATGTTTCCAAAATGGAGAGACTTTTGGGTTTTGGTGGGAAGGTGGACGGCAGAGCTCAGAGATAGTAGAGATTCCCAAAGTACTTGAATGACATTTGTAGCAACTAATGATCCTTCCTTCCTGCTAGGATTCTGAAGTATAGAGGAGGGTAGGGAAGAGTCCTAACTACCTGTTAATGAGAGAGTTCCTTTAACTTGACCCATGTAATGACCATGATTTCAAAAGGCTGACTGAACTTTAAACAAGTGAGAGGGCTGCTGGGAGAAAGTCCAGCAATGAGATTTCTAGAAAGGCAGGAGTAAATATGGCAATCTAACAGATAGGCAAAATAATCTCCAAAGATATGTTTTTATCAATTTTTATGAATGCTAACATATCCCATCTTCTTATTTTTCCTTATCACTAGGTAAAAAATAGTCAATCAGAAATTTCTTAATTATTAATATAAAAGCAATCATCTTTTATTAATCTGATTTAAAGTGTCATACCAACAAACTTATGACATATGGCAATCACTTTATTAATATGAAGCAATAGGATAAATCCTTTAACAAGAGTATTGATTCACTACCATGAATGTGTAGTACTATACTTTGGTATAGTATTACACCTGCTTCAGTCAAATTATGTCTGAATTACTTTCACTTCCACACGTATAAAACATTTATACTTCACTGTTGAAAAGAACAGCACACAGTCATGCACTTTTTCTTTCTGGTTCAAATGCATGTAAATGCACCCATGTACAATGAATTTTTCACTGCTCAAGGACTTCATAACATGAACAACTTTTCTGAACACTATATCTGTCTTTTTAATTGAAGGGTGGGGAGCAATATGGTACAGAAGACCCTTTCACAAGGTCTCTTCTGGAGAAATATTTGAGAATACAATTATAGTCCTATAATGACTGTAATCAAGATCATCCTACAAGGACACAAAGGTAGATTCACTCTCCTGGAGAGTTTCTGATCTTATTAAGAACATTATGACTGGAGCGGGGGGCGAAGGGGAGAGTACATAGAGGTTCTAGCAGAAGACTCTCCTAGAGAGATATTTTGAACAATTCAATCCTAGAATGACTGTAATGAAGATGACATGATAGCTGAATCATTTTGGTGAAGAATTCTGTGTCTGGAAAGACACTCACAATAATGTAATTATATGCTGTTGAATTTTTTTATGCTTTGTGAGAATATAAGAGGCCATGAAAGCAGAAAAATGTAACACTATAACAAATAAAAAGGAAACACTTGAAGAATAAACACTTAACACAAAAATTTCAAATGGTATCCAATAAATTTTCATGTCAAATCTTTTAGCTAAACATATAAAGTTCTTTTTTTTTTTTTTTTTTTGTGGGACCCTCGCCGGTGGCCGGGGAACGAATCGTCGCTGCAGAGGCTGCGGGCAGCCATGCAGCCCAGCGCTCAACCACTGCGCCACCAGGGGAGGCCCTAAACATATAAAGTTCTTAAATGGCAACTAATAAATCTTCATGTCAAATTTTTAACAAAATCCACAAATAGTTTATAAAAATTGAACAATCATAAATGTTTTATGTATAAAGATTTAAGGGAACATTTACAATTCTCCATCATTTTGTTTAATCAAATACTTCAGGAATTTTAGTTACTGCTGAAGAGCAGTTCATAAATTTCTAAAATAATTTAGTTATGAAAATAATATTACAATTAAGGTTTGGCATAGTAGCATTTCAGCACTCTTCAATCATCTGCAAATGTCAGCCGGCCCGGCCCTTCATTCTTCATCCATCGCCTGTATCTCTTCCATCTAGGGTCATTTGCTAATTTTTTCTTTAGTTCTTCTTCTTGTTCTTGTTTGTAGACCTATAGGTATAAATAACATTAATTGACTTTACAATCCAAAGAGAAATATTTATCATCAGCTATAGGGTATTATTTGCATTTCTCAAATATAACCTTAGGTTAAAAGTTTCCAGTTAATGTATTGATTTGTCTTCTGAAGACCATGCATCTAAAAATACTAAGCAATTAATCATTTTAACTTTTTTTTAAAGATTTATTTTATTTATACAAGAACCGGGGTACAGGCCAGATGCACGGGAGAGTAAGAGGATTCGCCAGAGACAGAGTGGGGAACAGAATAGGCAGACTGACAAAATATACTGCTGAGGGGAGCAGCAGGCGAGACAGGAGAGGTCTGCTTGCCTTGTGGGTTGCTCCGAGGCCAGTGGGGATCGAACCAACAGTGCAGAGGCTGTGGACAGCTTCACAGCGCTGCGCTCAACCCCCTGCGCCACCAGGGAGGCCCCATTTTAACATTTTTAAAAAGAAAAACTTGTACAAGAACTAGTAATTTTTGCCACTCATTTCTGCAATCTGGGAATACATTATTTTCCTCACTGATATCATACATAAACTGAGTTTAAAAGGTTTAAACATTTCCTCTGTACAACTAACATCCAATATGAAAGCTCACCACTTTATTTTTTTGAAGAGGGTGCTCTGTAAGTAGAACTGATGACTTTTAGTATCTGTTGATCCTATCCAAGGAACAAAGTGACCTTATTTATATGCTGCCTCCAAAGTGAACTTACATCTACTTTTATCTTCAAGGATAATTATTGGTTTTTCTATTTTTTTCATTAAAGTTCCCAAAGAAGGTTAAATAAACCATACACATTAAGAACAAAAACAATCTGCATTTCTGTAAACTTTTAGTGGCTATCAATTGAAGCAAAATGGAAAAATTTTCATAACCAGTTTCACAGCCATATCAAATTTTATTTTTTTAAAGATTTATTTTTATTTATTTATGTATACAAGAACTGGGGTGTGGGCCAGAGGTAGCTAGGGGTGAGAGGATTCACCAGAGACAGAGTGGGGAGCAGAACAGGCAGATTGACTGAAATACACTGCTGAGGGGAGCAGTGGGCGAGGCAAGAGAGGTCTGCTGTGCCAGGCAGGTTAGCTCCCTGGCTGGGGATTGAACTCATGTCCCAATGGCTGGCAATAGCTTCACAGTGCTGAGACTTAACCCTTGCACCACCAAGGAGGTCCCACATCAAATTTTTAAAAGAAATTATTTCACTTCCAAATTTCAGGATAACTGAGATAACCTCATATAGTAAAATCTGAACATTCAGCCCAGGATAGTACTCTATGAAAAAGTTTTGTGGACTAGGGGCCTCCCCTGTGGTGCAGCAGTTGAGTGCTGGGCTGCGAAACTGCCCGTAGCCTCTGCCGCGCTGGTTCCATCCCTGGTCACCAGCGAGGGTCCCGCATGCCGTGACAGACCTCTCCTGCCACGCCCGCTGCTCCCCTCAGCAGTGTATTTCATCAGTCTGCCTGTTCTGTTCCCTGCACTGGCTCTGGTGAATTCTCACCCTCCCATGCTTCTGACTGTACAAATAAATAAATAAATTTATTTGTACAAATAAATAAATAAATCTTGTACAAATAAATAAATCTTTACAAAAAAAGAAGTTTTGTTGACTAGGCTGTTTAACTTATATAAAGAGAAAAATTTCATATAGTTTGGGAGTTAAATATATCACCTTTCATTTTTGTGTTATTTATAAACAGGCTAAATATATCTACTGGCCAAAGCATTCTGGCATTTCACATCAAATTAAATTATTTACATATAATTCAGACTGAAATTTCACTTTTGGTAAAATCTATTTAGGATACCACATATAAAAAGTATATAAAACTAAAAGCATAAGTATATCTTAAAATTTTAATATATATCAGAATTTTTTTAAATTTTTATTTATTTATACAAGAACTGGGGTACAGAGAGGCGGGAGGGTGAGAAGATTCACCAGAGACAGAACGGGGAGCCGAACAGGCAGACGGACCGAAGACACTGCTGAGGGGAGCAGCGGGTGAGACAGGAGAGGTCTGCCACGCCATGTGGGAATCTCCCTGGCTGTCTGGGAATCGAACCCGCACTGCAGAGGCTGCGGACAGCTTCACAGTGTGGCGCTCAACCCGATGCACCACCGGGGAGGCCCTATATCTTAAATTTTTAATGAACATTTTACTGTGCTCTATTCTTATATTAATACATTAACCAATTAATTTTAGCCAGAACTTAAAATACTAGAATGAGACTGCTAGTTGCTTTAAAACTTAAGTAGCTGATCATCTCAAAGTAAGTGCTCTTGTAAATTGTGCAATATGGCACTTATTAAAATACCCAAGGTTTAGGGGTATTATAGTAAATTAATTTAAGATAGAAGTAACTTTTCATATATGTTAATTATGCAGATTCTGTGCTCACTTATGCTGAAATGAAATTATTTCAACATAATTTCCATCAGAATTTCTCTCTATATATATGTAAGCGTAATTTGTGTTGCTGTTTGCTTTTTTGATCTCTGTGGCTAAGTTGTTATGAAGGGAAGACCAAATTTGAGTTAGTGCAATAAACAGAGCTGTTACATCCTTGCAAAACAAATATCCCACTGCAATTTAACAAATTAGATGATTCTTAAAGTATTTGAAGTTCATCTTTTAAAAAGACAAAGGTGGACCTCCCCGGTGGCGCAGCGGTTGAGCGCTGGGTTGCGAAGCTGCCCGCAGCCTCTGCAGCGCCGGTTCGATCCCCGGCTGCTCCCCGGCCACCGGAGGAGAGTCCCACATGGCGCGCAGACCTCTCCTGCCGCCCGCTGCTCCCCTCAGCAGTGTACTTCGGTCCTTCTGCCTGCTCTGCTCCCCGCTCTGGCTCTGGTGAATTCTCTCACCCTCCCACGCTTCTGACTGTACCCAGTGCTTGTATAAATAAATAAATAAATCTTTAAAAAAAAAAAAAAGACAAAGGTTAAAAACCCATTGTTTCACTACCAAATAGTCATACTTTCAATAAAAGTAAACATTTTTATTCACTTCTGTGACCCCTTGTATATCTAATTTTCACTTGGTAAGAAACATGACACTAAAATCACAGCAGAGTAATTACTTACCTCATAATTCTCCTTTATCCAGAGTTCCCGTTTAAGAAAAGTTTCTTTCTGATGATCTTCTAGACTATCAAACTGAGACTTTGACATCTTCATAAACTTACGTATTATATACAGCCTTTCTTCCTCTCCATATTCTTTGCCTTTGATGTTAAAATTATAGATCCACTGGCAATACCACACTATATATGAGCACACGTGAAAAGGGGCTAAGAGAATTTGAAATAGGAGAAGGTCACGTATCTGGGGTTTCTGATAGCCCCCTTTTATATCTATTTTACTTTTTATAATGTTCTTTATGATGTTCTCCTCTTCATCACGAATTTCCTCTTTGGACTTTTTGTTTCTGCCCCTCTCTTTGGCTTTTTTGAGCAATCCCTGCTGCTTGGCAATCTCCGTGGCTTGGATACGGTACTTGGGCACTGTGGCTAGGTAGTTGATTGCCTTATCGTAGCTATTCCACCAACTGAAAAACTAGAATATTTAACAAACAAAAATAAGTCTTTTTACTACCAGAATTCATCTTGGTAAATACCACTCACTACTCCAGAAACCCATTCTGCTTAAATATAGGCACCTCAAACATTTTACTCTGCAAGTAAAGGACATAACTGAATAATGCTTCTATGTATGTGGATCGTCAGGCTAAATATGTCAGGTAAGCCCTGAGCTGAACCGAAAGCCATGATTGAGAGAAGCGATCCCCAAACACAGAGGATGACCAAGGGACCATCACACCACACCTGTTTATTTTACAGCCCAACCCCTTTTCTCTTCCCCAGGTCACACTGAAGAAACTTCTCTCCTTTTAAGACTGCAGTCTGCATGCTGGAGGAAAAGTGAAATGACAAACTAGCCACTGACAAATTTGATTTTGAAAATCCAGGACACAGACTCAGGTAACTATATTCCTCCTCCTCTCCTTCCTAAACCATTTACCTGTATCACAGTAATGCTCATCATATTCTAAATGGAAAGATGCGAGTATGTTTATTCTTCACTTATTTGTACAGAAAAACACTAACTCACTTCCAAAAGGCTTTATTACCTGTCTGAAGAAGTCTGTTCTTCACATAGTAGCTCTACACATTTCAGCTGTTGTTTTACTGAGTAAATATAGCAGTTATATCAATTAAATCTTGGAATATTACCATAGCTATCTATTAATAATAGGGGGAAAAGTGTCTAGGGTGTTTTATTATCTAAAACAGAAAAATAAAATTATTCCTGCTCTCCTCTTTGAAATGCTTCTACAAAAGTTGATACAGTTAAAATATACAATCTCAGTTTTCAATAGGAATTCTTTGGTCATATAAATTCAATCTCATTTCTGGGACTTAAGCTAGAAAAAGCATTTTTAAATTAGCAAATTACTTCATCCTAGTCACCTGACAATATATATTCTTCCTCTAAAGAGTCATGATAGATGTGATTACTTTAAAAATAATAGGAAAAACTCATTTAAGGTTGAAGTTAAATTTCTGTGGTAGTTTGAAACAACATAAAAATTACTATAGCTCTTTTAATCTGTTTCCCAAGCAGCAGCACCTATAGCAGCATGCAGAAACTGCTATTTCTGGTTGCTACAATGATACTAAGTACCACTGGCACAGTGGTAGACAGGTGCCAAGACTGTTTGGGACATATTAAGGAGTCAGGTTTTTCCCAAGTTTAATGGGAAATCACTGAGAAAAAAAAAAAAAAAGCCCTACAAAAGTAACTGATATGATCTGGCTGTTGTAAGAAAAATAGAGGGGGCCATCAGAAAAAGAGCAGTTGGCTTGTTTATTTTTGTGGTTGTGTAAGACATTCATTATCAGTTCCTTGGAGCTCACATTGATGAAGATTCCAATGTTATCAACTGGTGGAATAAAGGAATATCTTTGTAATGTAAAAAATTAGGTCACCCAGAACCACTAGGCAACGTGTACTCATGTGCATTTATGTAGATACACCTGCCATCAGTACACACCTGAAACAGTGAAATAGCACACACGCTGACCAGAATCACCACTCTGACGTCCACTGGGGGGGCCAGGCGCCTGCTATAATACTGGTAGTAATGGCTGTAGTACTCTTCTGGGTGATCCAGCATGTAGTCATAATCCTTCCGTGTTTCTTCATCCTGTAAAATAATGAGATGTCCGATTTCATAAGACATTTCATAGAATGGCCTTACTTTACAATTTAAGTCAGATCTAGAATTTTAGAATTAATGTATGGGTAATCCAAGTAAAAGAACTGACACTGTCAAAATCAAAAAAAAAAAAAAATTCCATGATTCCACAAAAACACACATACATGTGTTTTCAGAACTTTAAATGTCACTGTGTTCTTGTAACTTAAGAACAAGTTGACTCCTACCCTCAAGAACTGTTGATAGAAAAAAAGAGTTTTTCTCTGTTGTATATATTCACAATCATTTTCCAGCTTTGTGCAGAACATTTCTGTTGAAAGCAAATGTTAAGACAATTAAAAAGGAGACGAAGCCAGTCTGTCCTTATAAAGTTAAGTTATTCTTCTGTCAAAGAAACCATAAGACACAGAGTCAGGCTAGTGGTCAAAGTCGGTGGCTCTGTGATCCTGGGCAAACTCTGTAGCCTCTCTGAGCCTCCCTCTTCTTAATTTGTAAAAGAGAGATCAATGCCTGCAAATTTTATAAGATTGTTTTAAACATCAAATGGCATAAAAACATGTTACAGATATGTAGTACTTTACTATTAAAATACATTATCACAGCCTAGTTCACAAGTGAGGTAACAACATATAGCACTTTCTCAGTGATGCATACAAATTGAAAAAATTATAGCATTGGGAAATGCTGTTGTGACTATTTGCAAATAAAAATTCACTAATAGTAGTAAATTTCCAACAGGGATAAATGCTAACCTTTTAATAAGCTACACAGATCAAAGATTTATTAAAATATATTATGATTTGCTTTTTATTCCATAGGAAAGCTATTTTTCAACTTGTGCTGTTTTTTAAAAAACATTAAAGACTAAAACCACAAGATTCTTTACTCTATAAATGAATGCAACAGAATTCATTTAAAAAAATTTAATCTAGGAGGATTTCTGCTAGGATAAATTATTCAACATTCATAAAGTTGCAGATTCTTAGCTAACGGCATTGCAAAATTTGTACCTAGTGCTTTGCTACTGTAAACAAATGCTCTGGGGCCTGTTGCAGGCCTTCTGAGACCCTCAACATGCTGGTTCCTTAATTTGCTAATGACACAGTCTTCCCAGTACCCATGAAAATCATTTTGTATTTTCTCATAAGAATTCTGGATTGAGTGAGAGCATTCTCAGTGAGAGTTCATATATACAAAATATTTTTACCTTTGACTAGAATTTGAAACTAGCTAAACTAGTATCTGATATATTGACATACAAATATATTTAAAGTCTACACCATGGCACTACAGGTGGTGTGCTAACAGGAGAACTATCTATTACATAATTCTTTAGAGGGCTGAATTCAGGCTATTTTCACATTAAGTCCTTATATGTTCTCTTCTGTCAAAAAGGTTTTTCTTGTTCAGTGCCACTAACCACAACTGTAACTCCATTATTCCTTAGAGAAATCCTCATTTCACATTGTAGAGCATCCTACCTGAAGAGGCCTACACTTTACAGGTCAGGTGTCTCTGAAGACCAAAGTCAATGTCTCTTGATGTATTTCACTTGGGATACTTCAAGAACTTTTGAGAACTTTTCTATCCTCCCTCTATTCTTTGCTTTCAGGGCTGATTTTATAGAAACACTCTGCTTTAGGCCTAAAGTCCTTGGCTTTTTAACTCAGCCTCCCAATTTTGGCATATGCCTTCTGAAATGCATTTCTTTAAATACAGTTCTCCTTGCTCCAACTAGGTTACATGTAGCTTTGAAAGGAACTGCCACACTGAGATCAGACTCCTCCAGTATCACTCTCTACACAGAGGCCCTTGCCCAGCCTGACTGACTGGACTCTTTTTGGTTGCAGTATCACCAAGATCTTTGAGTGTTGTTAAACTGCTATGTAGATGTCGCACATCCCGTGCTTTTCTTCTGTCTTCTTTCTTCTTGTCTTAGTAAAGGCCAAATATTCCTTGTTAAGCATTTTGCCCAGATCTTTACCCAGGATCACCATTTTCTCACTGATCCTTAGATTTGTGACTCATCAAGTCCTGAGTTCCTCTAACAGAATGGTCAACAAATGCTCCAGCACCAGCAACTCCACAATCTGGCCCTGTGTCTGACTTCTCTATGGCAACCAGAACCTTGGGGTCTGTTCAAGGCCCTCTGAAGAGTTTTCAAACTATGTGATTCCAGCAAACAGTTTCAGAGTCAAGCCTGACACATCTTAGGATGATTTTCTCTTCCTTGGGGTCACTATAAATGTATGACCCTGTTTTGGCCCTGGTTAGAGACAAGAAGGTCAGTGATCTCCTTGATAGAGCATTTATTCAATCAGAAACTTCAGTTCTGAGTTTATAGCCTGAGGTATCCATAATATACTTTAGGTGTTCAAGGTCGGCACAAATTGGAGAAGCAGGAGTTCCCAAGAGGCTAAGTCAAAATCCTTTAGTGACCTTCAAAGATTTGAATCAATCTAGTAAGAAAACTAGAATACCTGAAATATTAGCAAAAAAGAAAAGACAGAGTCTGGGACCCAATTAGACAGCTATAGGTAAATTCTTATTTGAATATCACCTATTTATTTTTCCCTTCTAGCCATCTTGGAACTAAGGGAGCCCTGGTGCTTCCCTGTAGCCAGTAAGTTAAAATTTCCTTGGCCCAAACTTACCTAAGTTAGCAACATCTCACCACCCCTCTTTTGCCCATAGCAAACATTCTGATAGCAGTTTCTAGAATTTGGTTGTGTTCTCCCAGGACAGCATTCTCTTTCATACCTATGTCCTTAAACATATAATTTCTAAATCAAATGTCCACCCCTTTCTTCCCCTTTCATGAGCACCTGTTAATCCTCTAGGACGCAACAGTAACTACCTCAGACAGACCACTCTCATTATGCTTATTAACCATTTATTATAGCACTTATCACATTTAATCAGTTTTTTCTTTCCCTTAAGTGAGAACACCTAGAAGACAGATAGGGATGACTCAATCTCTGTATATCCAAAGCCTAGCACAGTGCCTGGCATTCAAAAAATGTCATTTCAAAATTAAGTGAAATTTTGCAAAGACTCTCCCTTGCTATAACCCTCTCTCCAGCCACACAGGTCTCCATCCCACCAAGAAGGCTGGATGGTTATCATGTCACAAAAAGTTTGGCTTGATTTCACAGCTATGAAAATACACTAATGTGGCTAAAATGGCTTAAACCTTAAAACAGTTTAATATCTTACCTTTCAATAAGGTAGTACTCTTTCAGCAATTTTGTGGATCTTAAGGTCCCAGGGTCAGGAGATTCCAACTTCTTTCCAAAACCAAAACCTTTATACTTGTTTCTTCCTCCTCTCTGTCCTGAGTCTTGACAAGCAGGGCAATAAGCTCCTTGTTTCTAATCTCTACAGGAAAAAAATGGTGCTTCTGCTGGTGTCCACTCCACTCCCAATCCTCTTGGGCATATGCAGGAGGACTGGAACACAACCACCAATATCTAGATCAAAAGTGAACAAGAGGAAACCCACAAGCAACGAAAGCACTGAATCCTTCCTTCTCTTATGAAATTGGTCACTTCCCCCCCTCCCCAGAGGCAAAATATATTATGTTCTTGCCCTTCAAATAATGAATTGTTTGATCTCAACAAACACAAATTGCAATAAGTTCATACTGCAGCCAGTTTCACATTAAAATTGTTCTATTAAATGAACAGTAGAAACCATTTTAGGATGGTAAAGGCCAGGAAACAAAAATTTATGAAAATGCCATAAAATTTTGTTCATTCTTAAAAATATGTTAATCTCTTTTTAACAGAAATGCACATACACAAATATCCTGTTAAAAAATAAAATCTGTTCCCTTAATTTTTTTCCAGGCCATTACACCCTACTAAAGAGGAAGAAAATTAGCTGCTATCAGTTTCATTTCTTTTCTTGTACTCTGCCCACTACCACTCATGCAACTACCTTCTCTTCTAATCTACATGTGGTCTCAACAAATTCCAAGATTCACAGTATCACCTATATGCTAATGACGATCACATCAGTTTTTCCTGCCTCTATTTTCAAATAGATCCTGAACATTTCCCGAATATAGTAAGATAAATATCTCAAATTCAACATGCTCAAAATCCAAAACTGTTCTTCTGTGTTTCAGTTATAGTATCACCACCTACTTGGTTACCTAAGCTTTACAAATATTAGCAATTTGCAATTTAGCAGATCGTTATATAGAGCAATAAGCCTTGTATTGAACACGAAGGAGGATAAAAGATAAGTAAGATATGGTCCTGGGCAAGAACGCTCCCCCATCTGAAGATTCCAGCAAGCAAGATGACACAATTCCAGGTGCTAAGGAGTAAAGGACCGAGTAAATGTACCTGACACTATTGGTAATTGGACTTAGAGGAGAGACGAAACAAGTGCTAGATTTTGAAAGTTAAGTACAATGTGGTAAAATATGTTCTAAGCAAAAGAACAGCCAGTGTTAAGATACATAAGCGTCAATGACTCCAATGGCTTCAGTGAAGCTTGAGTATTGAGGAAATTTAGAAAGAACGAAGTAATAAATGTGGCCAGGAAGGCAGGTATGGCTATAACTGTAGCAGATCTTATGTGCCAACTCTAAAGAGTTAGGGTGTTGGGCCTCCCCAGTGGTGCAGCGGTTGAGCGCTGGGCTGTGAAGCTGCCCGCAGCCTCTGCCACACCAGTTTGATCCACAGCTGCTCCCCAGCCCCCGGAGGAGGGTCCCACATGGCGCTCAGACCTCTCCTGCCACCCGCTGCTCCCCTCAGCAGTGTCTTTGATCCATCTGCCTGCTCTGCTCCCCACTCTGGCTCTGGTGAATTCTCTCATCCTCCCACGCTTCTGACTATACCCAGTGCTTGTATAAATAAATAAATAAATAAATAAATAAATAAATAAATAAATAAATAAATCTATAAAAATAAATAAATAAATCTTTAAAAAATTTAAAAAAAAAAAAAGAGTTAGGGTGTTATGGCCTACACTATACAAAATGTTGCAAAGTATGAGAATAGCACTACTGCATATATATTATATATCTATTTTTAAAAATAACTGATAGCATCATAAAGACTAAAATGAAAGGAAAACAGATTTTACAGACTAAGGAGTGGCATAAATAGGACTCGGTGATAAAACGGTATAGGAGATGTTGACCATGATGGCGAAGTTGCTAATCATGGCTACTAAGCAGACCCCTGAGATAATGAACAGAGGACAAGGCTAGCAAGTCCAGAGTTGCCGGGCAAACTTACAGAAGATTGTGTAGTGGGGGGAAAAAGCTACTGGATATCCTTTCAATCCCTGGAGCCTCCAGGGCACATCCATTCCTGCAGGAGAGGTATATTTCTGTTTGTTTTAGACAAACCCATTTTAACTTCGTTGAGAGAGCAACTGTAAAAAATGGGAGTAATGCAAACAATTCTTGTTCACAGAAAGGCAAATTGTGTCCAGCGGAAAGCAACTTATTATTGCCCTATCCATACTGGCCATATTTATAGCATTTTTTTTATTTATAAATGTCTGGTACTTCTCTTTTGAACCAGTTTTAGTATCTTGCTGGTTTCTTCCTCAGTGAGTTACATAAAATCTGTGACACATGTTAATTTTGTATTTGTTGAGTCCTGATAGGTCCTCTTTTAAAATGTATGTTTTAGTAAAGATACCAAGATTGCCTTCTGACATGTTTAATTGTGAGGGCCTGTGCCATAGAGGAGAGAGAGGCAACTGAAAATACGAACATAGCAAACATAGACTTTAGAGTTATCTGCGTAAAAGCAGTGGCTGAAGTAAGGAAGAGCTTAGAAAATAAAAAAGAGGACACAAAAGACAGAACTGTAAGGAAACTCAATGTTTAAGATATGGGCAGAGGGAAAGAAGACTATAAAAATCAACAAGAAGTGACTGGAAACAGGAGAAAAGGGAGAGATTATATCAAGGAAGTGAAGGACGAACAGCTTCAAGCACTACATGCATGTCAACCACAAACAAGAGCCATGAAGGTAGGAAGTAATGAAGAGCCGGCTCCCCACATTGCCGTGGATCTGCAGAATGCCAAGTGTGTGGCTGAAAACAGCAGACTGAATGGAAGGGGGATGAGGACACAAAGATAGCCAATGGGGAAAAAAGAAGAAAAATGTGATCAGCACTTTAAAAGAAGCAAAACTGAGCAAAAGGAAATAAGAAGTGAACCAGGAGATTCTTAAATTACCAAAGAATCATGAGATTCCAGAAGATGGTGAAAATAAAATGAGTGTAGTCTAGAATACCTCCCTAGCCTTCCCCAACTCAGCCTCAATGATGTTTCCAGAAAAACAAACAGCAGATTGTATTATTTCTCTACTTGAAAACCTCTGGTAACTATTCAACATATAAAGTTAAAATTCCTGAACACGACTTAAAGGGTCATTCATCATCTGCTCTGAAACTGTGCTATAGTCTCCTGAAACATTCTCCCATTGACAAGCTTCTAACCTAGAAGTAGGTGATCCCCTAAAGCCTGTGAACAGTGCAATAAAGGTCTTTGGGCTTGTAAATATATCTCCAAAAGTTACACACTAAATCTGCACAAGCTAAATTAAAATGTCAAGTGCTCAATTTCTGGCTAAAATTATATCAATGCAGTAATTTTTGTGTTGATAGAAGCTCTGATTGGGTGTTGATGACATCAATGTGTCAGGTAGTCACAGCACTAGAATTAAACACATCTGGTATATAATCAACCTTGGCCATAAGTAGGGAATAACAGTTAAAATTAAAGAATCCATAAAAAGTAAACAACATTTTGAGAGTTCACTGCAGAAATAGCAAATACAGCAGATAGGCTACCACACCCTTCTTCTGAGCCCATGGAGAAATCACTATCCAACATGTCATCTTTCTTGCTAAACCCAGACAAAGCCTCAAAACCTCTGTAGTGTTCTAGGGAACAGAGTCCAATCAGACTTGGCATGTGAAATGAGAGTGATTTGTCATCCCTGGTCTATAAGTTACTTAATTTGGCTGTTCATCAGAATGTAACAGTATTAGAAATTTACATCATTTCTATTATTTTTATGAATACCCAATTATTATGAACAGCTGATCAAAATCTGGATTGATGCTAGAAAAATAGTAACACTAATAAGTATAATTAATGTTTTCCTCAAAATGAAGTATCCCTGGGGGGTATAATAAAAGTGGAGAAACTATGCACTACTAAAATACATCACTAAACTACCACTCATTTCTGGAGCAAGCTTTGGATACTTAGAACTCCCTATTTTTGTTGATCAAGTTTTTTCCCTCTTCCAGAAATGTCCTTTCACCATTTGTTGGCTTTTGTTCTAGTTTGAGATCAAAGAGTATATTCTTCTCTAATTCCCCAAGAAGAAATAATTCTGTCCTATCAGTACTGCAATTTAAAGATATTTTCATTATATAACTTAAGTAAATAACGAAACAATAAGTATGTGTCTTCTTGTTAAAATAAAAGCTTTAAGGCAGGAACTATGCCTTTTCCTTTGTTATGGCCTCCTCCCCCAGGGTCTACAGCAGTGCAGGTAAGAGGAAGGCTTGAGTAAGAGAATATACAAAGGCAAAACAATCAACAGTAACATAACAGAGCGGAGAGTTTAGGATCCCCCTTTTCACCAAAATCTAAAGTGCTAAATCGCTGTCACATCAATCAACTGATAAAAAGAAACTGAAGTGTTCTTGTGCTAATCCTCTGCCAAAACAAGGCTAAAGTAGAAGCCCTCTCTATATCACCCTTCAACTTACCAGCTAACCTTCACGCTCCTAATATTTCCATGACCTTTTTTATGTTCTCTTGTGATCTTGCAAAATGCTGTCAAATGCTAATATTTTCCCAAGTCTATCAATCATGGTTTTTCTAAGTGTATTCTTTCCACTTGTTCTCTCATTTGTTTATTTCTACGCCATCCCAAATATTTCATCCAATTCTTATCTATATGTAAAATGAGTAACATGCTCATTTTAAAGCCCTCAGAACATACTTTCTCTTTAAAAGCAAAAATGCAGTTTTTCTCTTATGCAAGAAAATTTTATTTGTGCCCATCCAATCAACATCATCTGTACCACTCTTTAAAACTATCATTAATTTGGAGTCCAATAGCAAAGTAGGCTTCACATAACAAGTCAAAATGCCAAAAATCCACTTTCAATTCCCATTCTATCTGAATCTATCTTCAGGTATGAGTTTTCATTTAATAAACATTCATTTTTATCTCATGTGCCAGACACGGTGCTAGTTGACAAGGATATACATACAAAAAACAAGGTTTAGTGGAGAGGGGAGAAGGGCTCCTCGGTATTTCCAGTGCAGAGTGATAAGTGCTATATCCACATAAAAACACGTAGGTGGGACTAGATCGTCCCACCTCACGTGATCCAGAGAGTGTGAGTCTGTTTACTTCCAAAGTCCATGAGTTCCCTGAATCCCAAGCAGTCAAATATACTAAATACTATTTCACTGTCTTACATTAGGAGGCAAATACGAAGCACTGTGTGAAATCATAATGGTCTGAAGTCCTGCTGAAAGCGTCTGACCAGTGCCTTCCATTATTACCATCCTTCTTTTCCCGGTTCCCTCAGTCTCTCTACGCACAAGTACAATCTCTCTACACACAAGTGTGGTAATATCTCCTTGTTTCACAAACTGTATTTAAATTGTTAGTATGCGTAATTTTTTTTAAATAACCACCATCTAAACAATAAATCCCTCTCTCAAAGAGTCATTCATTTGGCCCAGAAAACCTGAGAGACACGAACCCTCTATATCTTACAGGACCCAGTTCCCATTTTGGAGGTGTATTTATTATTGACATTTACCAATTGTTAGAAGTTTGGGAGGAAGACCACTGTGAGGGTAAATGAGGACACAATATAGCTTCTTAGATGACTACAGAAATTATAAAGGTTATCAAAAATAAATTATGGGGGGGAGACAAAAGGTTCCTGACTCCCACAAATTTACAAGGAAGTGATTTTCAGATTTGAAGAAAGAAACAATTTCTGTTGGATACACGGTTCCAGAGATGGAATCTACCTGTGCTTCTACAAAGCAAATATCAAGTCAACTTTTTCCTCCACATGCCAGCAATAACTAAACTTAGGTGTGAAGGACATATTCTTCCCAACACCCTTCCTCCCTTTCTGGCTGGCGCCAAGATAAAGACACCTCTCACAGGGTTTACTGTTTTTTTGTTTTGTTTTTATGGAGAAAGAGCACATAACAAAAATGGTGAACAGGAAGAAATGAAATGATGCTGCAGATCTGCACTGCTGCCTCCCAGAGATGATAACGTGGGATTCTGGAGAGATGTCTGCATATCCTTTTTTTATTCCAGAGTCAATGGAACTTATCAACATCTCCCACTATTCTATCTGATCTGCTCTTAGCAAAGTCCACAGGGCCTTCTTATCCCTCATAAGTCCTCATTCCAGCCTGTGGATACAATCCAAGCAAAACAGTGGTTATAGTCTCAATGGTATAATTTGGAAGGCTCAGGCCCTCCAAACTGGATAACCCCAGTTCATTAAATCTTTGCATTAGAAATGATATTCTCTGGCAACCTCTGCACAGTTTTCCATTATGACAAATAAAATCAGACCACCCTGTTAGTTTTTAAAAACTTCTGCACACACAGTCAAACTCCTTTTCTTATCCAAAGGAGAGGACATTTGCACTGAATTTAAAAAAAAAAAAAGTTTCTAAAGGCGTTCCATGCCCTTGAATCCATGCCCATTTCTATATAATTAAACTGAGTGGTTTCATCGAGCTCAGCTAGATCTGATTTTCAAGGGCCCAAACTACCCCCAGACATCCCTTTACACTCAGATAATTTTTATTCTTTTGCAGTCATACTGAATGGGGTTGGGGGAGCTATAGAAGCGTTCTCCCTCCTCCATCAGTGCAATTCCACTTCGAATTTTCTGTTTGGAGGCACCTGTGGCTATGACAAACCTGTGTAAAATCAACTGTAAAAGTTACTTTTGCCAGCATACCAGATTTTAACTGCCCCAAAGGCCCTTGTTCTTGAGTGGACAAATTATTTTATCAAGTATTTGACAGATCCATGCTTACTTTTAGGGGTAGACACCCCAAAAGGCAAACCGATCTGCCAGATTAGCCTCTAAATTCGTCTCTTCAAGAAAATGGCAAGAATATTAGAGCCCGGGGTTCCTCTCCAGCAAGAATTTCTCTGCTGTCTCTATTTCTGGGTACTTGTTTTACTAACATGCTCACAACTGCCATGCTCCAACACAGCAGAAGGCACAGTTACAGTGTTTCTGCTGCCCTGATTCTGGAAGCTGTGTTTGTCCAGTACTCTGTCTATGTCACCAAAGCTTTGAAGGACCGCCAGTAGGCCTTCTGGCTGGTTTTAGGACTACTCTCTTTCCTCACTGCAAAAATAGACTTGGGCACATTCTTTCCCATTTTTCTGAAGTCTTTTTTTAATCACCCTTTACCCTAAATTATAGAAAATGAAGCCCTTTGGACTAGCACTCTCCCAACTCTCTTGTCTCCCCATCCATTCCTCAGTTAATTGCCAATAAAAATAACAATCTCACCATTGCTAGTGAGAATTTAGTTAACTAGGCATACTCATTTTATGACTTCCTATTATCCATACTGCTCTGGAAAGCATGAATGAAGAACTTGTAACTCCTTGATTCAGTATTTTCAGCTCTGGAAAGTTAATCCAGAGAAATAATCCATGGTTAAATTATAGCATACCCATTCAAAGTAGCCATTAAAAGCAGAATATACAGCAACATGGAAAACTGCGTTTGCATTAGCATGATGGGGCTTTTGAAGCAGTAATACATCTAGCAAATATGACTTATACTTTGTGATTTTTTTTATATGATTTGATTTTTGCAATAGTAGAGAAATGCAAGGTAGGGCTAAGTCTCCCAGTCCCAGCCCCATAAGACCCAATGAAACCTTTGTAAAATGATATCTTCCCAAAATATTTCCTACTAGAAATTCTCAGATTCTTGATCCCAAAGTCATTGACCATCTAATGATACGTCCTATACGGGTCTTTTCACACTTATTTAATTCTCATAATAACCCGAAGACGTCTCAAGGCTTTAATTTTGCACATGAAGAAACAACTACTCCGACATACAAAGTCACTATCCAAGGTCATGCAGGGGTGTCAGGGCCAAGAGTCAAACATCCGGTCTTCTGATTGGTTGTCCATTGTTCCTAGTGTTTTGCAAGATTCTTCAACCCAAGCTAAAAGTCACAATACCATCTCCAGAAACCAAGTCTCTATCACGTCAAATTAGCGTGATCACACTGTCATTCAGTACTCCGAGACCTCGCCTGTATTCTATTACAGCTCCTGGTGATCATTTTGCTTTCTGAGTGTGAACTGCAGAGTAATTGAAATGTTTCCACTGAATCATACGAGGCTCAAAACTTTGCATCACAACGATTATCACGAAAAGGAGGGGGCTGGTTGTCCCCCTCTCCAAAGCCAAAGGGGGGGGTCCCCATCTTTGTCAATGTGCCGTGCGGGTTCCAGCACAGGGCCACGTGGGAAAGCTCGAGTTCAGGTGGCCGCGCCCGGCGCCGGGGTCACGGAGAACTTGTTTCCACGGGCCGGGGACCCAAGGGTTGCGTCTCCCCAGCCCACCACGCAGCCCATCCACGCCCCCAGGCCTCACCTTGAGAGTCTCGTAGGCGGTGGCCACCAGCAGGAAGGCCTCCTCGGCGCTCTGCAGCGTCCGCCCGGGGTCCTCGTCGCCGGGCTCGGGCCGGTAGCGGTCGGGGTGGTAGCGCCGGGCCAGCTGGCGGTAGGCCCGCGCGATCTCCGCCTTGCCCGCCGCGCGGCTCACGCCCAGCACCTCGTAGCAGTCCCGCGTGCCGCAGTAGAGCCCCTCCATCAGGGCCTCCGCCGGCCGCGCCGGCAGCAGCGCCAGCAGCAGCGGCGGCAGCAGCACCAGCCAGCCCCGGCCGGCAGCGCCCGCTCCTCCGCTTGGAGCCCGCCGCGCCGCCATCCCGGCCTCCGCCGCCGCTCCGCCACCCCAGCCGCCCGCCCGCACTCTGCCGAGCGCCGCCTCGGCTGCCCCGGCCGCCGCGGCCACAGTTCCACGTCAGCCGGCGGCGCCCCCGCGCAGGCGCACAAGGCGCGGCGGCCGCAGCCACTTTCTTGGCGACCGTTGTCAAGGGAGAGGACGCCGCGGCGCAGCGCCGCTCGGGTAGGTCACTGCACGCCCTCCGGAGCCCGGCGGTGGGAGGGCGTTTTCCTTAGTCGGGCCGAAGGGGTGTTTCTGTGTTTGAGACGCGCTTAAGCAGTGGGCGCAGAGCGCTTTGCACTCCATCTTTTTGACTTCAGGACTTCACCTCCTGCAACTGGTTGACTGGCTCTCTTGTCAGGGTGGCAGCATTCTAGGTAGGAGCGCGAGGGTTTAAACCCGGCGCCCCAGCCCCTGCCGCTTCCTCTCAGTAAGCACCTGCTGCCTTTCAAAAGGAAGATGAACCTGGAGATTCTAGGGAAACTTAGAGTTGATGGCCGCCTAGCTCAGGGTCGCTCAGCCTGTTGACTGAGAATGGCACTGTTGACATTTGGAACAGCATTATATTTCGTCTTGCAGGGACTGTTGTATGCATTGTAAGATGTTTTACAACACCTAACCTTTACACACTAACGGCCAGGGGTAGCAGCACCGCAGTTTTGACAAGCGCAAATGTCTCCAGCTACTCCCAATCGTGTCCTGAATGTAGGTTTGCCAGGAAAATACAGGTTGCTCAGTTAAATTTGAATTTCAGATAAATAATACTTTTAGTATAATGAAGTCTGAAGCATTGCATAGGACAATACCGCAACATGAAGAAGTTTGTCTCAAAAAAAATCCTGTATCTGTTGAGTTTTTAATGAGTCTCTATTGTGAGCTATGTACTGATTGAGGCACAGGGGATACAGTGGTGAGCAAGGTAGATAAGATCTACTATCTCACGGAGAATATATTCTTGTGGAGGATGATGACAACAAGCAAATAAATTTTAAGCTAAAGAAATAAACAAGGTAATAATATATAACATCTATGTCATGCACTGTATATACATGCATGTTTATACACACATGCATGTATGTATATATATTTACATAAATAAATATATAATATAGAACACATAAGAAAGTCACCTAACTTATTAGAGTCAGGGACAATTGTTAGGATAAATTTCAGGGGGACTTAACATCTAACTTGACTTAAAAAGGCATATGGGGGGGAGTGCAAGGGAGGGGCTTAGGAATAAGGAACTTGTGAAGTACTTAAAGGAAGAAGTTGTCATACTGCCTTGAAATAAAGTGGTTTCTACATTACTCAATGTGGTCATGTTACTCTTACCCAACTTTACCATCGGATGTTCAAATAACTAACATGGCTGTCAGGATTCCGTGACAGTCTAGCTTTTCACGTGTTATGTTTTTGCTTATACTGGTCCTTTTACCTGAAATTTCATCTCTCCCTCCCTGCCATGCCCTCCAATTCTCTATTTTCTGTGGAACTTAGCCAAGGAACTTAGCTTAAGTATTTCTTTACTTGGATTTTTCCCTCCCCAGGTAATAGTCCCATAGCTGCTTTAGAACTTCACAGTTAAGATCAAACTAGCCCAGAGGATACTCAGTTTCCATCAGGTAGAACCTTGGCCTTTGACTTTTATCTTATTTCTTCTGAGCAGCAAACTCACCATACCTTACCCTGGAGAAGTGTCCTCAGCAAACTACGTTTCTCCATCCCTAGCTGGCTAGACGTGAAACTCTGCCAATAGAGGGCGCTGGAGGCACACTGCAAGCAAGGCTGGAATAGGAAAAGGAACATTTTTCTCCCCTCAAAATAAACTGATCAACAGGCAGAGTACCCTGTCCAGCTCCATTTCTTTGCTACCACATTGGTGATAGCTCCTGTTCTGGATTGAGTTGTGACTCCCCCCAAAAGATGCATTCAAGGGCCTCCCCAGTGGCGCAGCGGTTGAGCGCTGGGTTGCGAAGCTGCCCGCGGCCTCTGCAGCGCCGGTTCGATCCCCGGCTGCTTCCCGGCCACCGGCGGAGGATCCCACATGGCGCGCAGACCCCTCCTGCCGCCCGCTGCTCCCCTCAGCAGTGTACTTCGGTCCTTCTGCCTGCTCTGCTCCCCGCTCTGGCTCTGGTGAATTCTCTCACCCTCCCGCGCTTCTGACTGTACCCAGTGCATGTAAAAACAAACAAACAAACAAAATAAATAAATAAAACATGCCTCTCTTAAAAAAAAAAAAAAAAAAAAAAAAAAAAAAAGATGCATTCAAGTCCTAACCTCCAGTGCCTGTGAATGTGACAATTAAAAAGGGTCTTTGCAGATGAAATTACTTTAAATGAATTCACACAAGATTGGGATGGGCCCTAATCCAATGACACACACAGGAAAGAGAAAACAAAGACACACACAGGAAATACATCCATGTGAAGACAGGTGCAGAGGCTGGAGTTATGCCATCACAAGCCTGGGAATGCGGAGGATTGCCAGCAACCACAGAAGCTAGAAGAGAGGCCCAGAGCAGATTTTCCCTCAGAGGTCCTAGGAGAAACCCACCAGCCCTATCAACACCTTGACTGTTGTGTTAAGCCACTCAGTTTGTGATTACTTGGTAGCAGCCCTGGAAAATTAACACAATTCCAGTCAGTATCTTTGTTCCTGGAGTGGTTGCAGCTGTTACTTCTCAGCAGAGTTAGTTTCTTCCCCACAGTACCAGTGTCCGGTGACAATCATACTCTCAGAGCAAAAGAAGTGATAAATACATGTTTGATGGGGGCAGGATTTCCTTTTGGGGTGATAAAATATTCTGGAACTAGATCATGGTGATGTTCCTTCAACATAGTAAGGGTACTGAAGGCCACTGAATTGTACACTTCAAAATGGTTAGGACAGTATTTTTCTATGTTTATGCACAATAGAAAATAATTTTTAATAGTAAATGTGGAAAAGGGTCACTATCCCTAATGCTGAGAGAAAAGTAAACAAATAAGGAACTTAGAAACTCAGAGGAAGCTCTTGTCCCAAGTCTAAGATTATTTTTTTTATCACAGTAAAATGCACCTAACAAAATTTACCATCTAAACCACAAAAGGTCAGGGAAAAACTAAATAAAAATTTAAAAAAACACAAAAGCTTCATGCCAGACAAGGATCAGAGAGATGCTGGACTTGCTGTGGGAGGATTTTGGTCAGAATTACCCTTCCCAGATACGTGCTTGTGTGTATGTATGTGTCTACACACATGCATGTATTGCTCTTGAACTTCCTTTGATGATATCAATGGTCTGCTGGTGTGAGCTAGGTAGTTTGTGGAGTTGAAATACCCAAATCTCATTGCCAAACCCTTTTTTAAAAAGATTTATTTATTTATGCATACAAGAACTGGGGTACAGGCCAGATATGTGGGAGGGTGAGAGGACTCACCAGAGACAGAGCAGGGAACAGGACAGGCAGATTGACTGAAATACACTGCTGAGGGGAGCAGCGGGCAAGACAGGAGCGGTCTGCTGCGCCATGTGGGATTCTCCCTGGCTGGCCGGGATCACACTGCAGAGGCTGCACAGCTTCACAGCACTGTGCTCAACTGCCTGCACCACCAGGGAGGCCTGCCAAACCCATTTTCAAATGTCATGCTTGTAGGAATATAAGCTCACTTCTTCTATCTTCATATATACTGACTTTTAAAACATTAATACCAATTTCTTCCTTATGTTTCTTTTAGTCATCAATTTGGAGAATTGGGACGGGTTGGTTCTGGCAATATTACTTCCAGTTCTGGGTTTTTGGGTTTGTTTTTTTTTTTTTTTAACATCCACTGCCTTTTACTGTTCAGCCCACTCAGCAGCTTCTGTGAATTAACTCGTTTTCCTATTAATTTCCCCCGCTCCTTTGGCATTCTTATTTAGGGCAAGCAGAAAATTCACACCGTTCACACAGCCCTCTCCTGGACCTGCTAGGTCACCAGGGAGGCAGAAGCCAGCTGCTTACTTATGACCTCCGGAGAACCCAGATAAAACCCTGCAGATCCAATATCATGGAGGGGACTCCTCCTGCTTCCCCTATCTCGGAAATGACGCCGAAGTACCCAGCAAAGACTATATTGGTTCCAAAATTATCCACCAGAGGGTGCTACACAGCCGGTTACAGATGTCTGGTGGCTATTTTTCTTAGGCTTCCTTCAGAATTCATGAATGAAACTATATTTAAAACCAAGCATCTAAGAAGGGAAAATAAACCTGATTTCTTGCATAGATAAAAGAGGAAAGCTAAACATAGCCCCACTCCTTATGCTTCGTAAGGGGATAGTGGTAATTAAGAGAATTGGGCCAAACATATAATTTAAACACTTGGCTTTGGCTCTGTTTTTAAAAGGAAAAATATTTGCAAAGAAACATCTCCAATGTTTTTGTTTCAATAATCTGTGAAGTTAGGTAAGCAGTCACTTCAGAAATATTCTCCATGATAACGTTTTACACAGGAAGCTTAAGGACATGTCAGCCTATAATTATAATGCCCTATAAAAGTTCTACAATTATAAGACCCACTGGATGGCTCTGGATCATGGGCAAGAGAGATAAAGATTTGGGAGCCTTTCCTCTACATGTGGACTTTGCTTTTTCATTTGCAGCAGAAAGCATTCTAGTTAATACAGACACCTTTAAAAATACAGGAGAAAATAGACAACTCCAAAAGCCTGAGACAGAAGAGATGAGAGCCAAGCACATTAACCTTTGGTAGGAAGAGAGAAATTTTCTTCATCAGAGCAGGGAGAAAAGAGAAGGTAGGTACAAGTGCAAAGAACTTTGTAACTTTCTCATGAAAAGATGAAGTCTCTGGTCTAGTGGCTTCTATTTTCTCAACAAAGCCTAAGATCAGATCAGATCGGGCCTCCCTGGTGGTGCAGGCAGTTGAGCACAGCGCTGTGAAGCTGTCCACAGCCTCTGCAGTGCCGGTTCTATCCCCGCCGGCCTCAGAGAAACCCAC